CACTTAGAACATTCAGAATTACCAATTTAAATTAACAGCTAAAGCAAGGAAATCGCCACACAAAATTCCCGATTCGATTTGCTGGTTCGGATAACCATCAATATCCTGATTTCTTTAATTGAGGCAATTAATGAGACGTTGACTAAGTGATTACTTTTCTGTACAGAGAATTTGTTGTTGTTCATTGTGGTTTCTCTCTCACACTAACACACAGTTTCCATCTGAACCACAAAGCACCAGGCACTTTCCCTTCAATTGCCCAATTGACTCGGCTGGTAATGAGTGGTGGTCTCGGTTAACCACAACTGGGAGCAATAAACGTCGTCTCTGGTGCTTCTATTCTCGTCTCCAGAGAGCTGTGAACTGCTGTTGCAGACTGAACAGTTGACCAATGAAGCATAGCACCAGTGAACAGTTAGCTCCGGCAAATGTGCTCCAACACGGCCAATGAACGCGGCAGCGTGACCAAATGAGGTCTAGAGAGGTTGAGGAATAGTGCAGTTTGGTTTTTTCTAGCCTCTATTCTATCATTCTCAAAAAGGCCCTGAGCCTCGAGCTCAGATTCTCGACATTCAGTGCATTGAGAATGCACGTGTTCTCATGAATATGAATGAGCCAGTTTGAAGGAGGGAAGAGAACAGAAGAAGAAGAAAAAGAAGAACAGAATACTCTGTCTCTTTTGACACTGGGCGCCCAATGAAAGACGAAAGGAGCAAGAAAGTGAAAGAGAAAGCGAAGCACTGACTTCTACCCAGCGCTGTCAACCAGCGTTGCTGTGTCGTAAGTAGTAGACAAGTAGTCTGTGACACTTGGAGAAAAGCTGTGATTTATTGCTGCCGCGAGCTGGGCAAAAGAAAAGGAGAAAAGAGCCCACTGTCGGACACTGACTGCTTACAAAAGAGGAACGGGTGCAAAGGAAGTACATGATGATGAGGATGAGGAAGAAGATGATGAGGATGAGGGCTGATGGCGAGAGTGAANAAAGGAGAAAAGAGCCCACTGTCGGACACTGACTGCTTACAAAAGAGGAACGGGTGCAATAGAAGTACATGATGATGAGGATGAGGAAGAAGATGATGAGGATGAGGGCTGATGGCGAGAGTGAAGATGATAATCAGATACCAGACACTTCAGACAGTGTTTGAAAAAAGCACTGCTGCTGCTGTTACCGCTATTCAGCAGCACCGGACGATTCAGCTGCCGTCGTCATTGGCTCTGCCGCCAAAGTGGCCATCTCCTCACAAGTGATCGGCCCGCCGAAGCTGGCCAACTGCTGCACTGAATTAGGCTGACCAGCGGTGCCCACGCTGGACAGTGGCGGCAGATTGGGCGGCAGCGGCACCCCCGACTGGTACATGTAGATGATCAGCCGACGAAGCTCCTCGATGGCGTTGCCCTAATGAGTCAGTAATAGAAGGGAAAAAAGGGAGGTAAAAACACTGGGACAATCAAATATCAGCTAGCCAGCAAGCCACCACACACCGACCTGCATGAGGATAAAGTTTTTGGCAAGGAGAAGTGTGGCAATCTTGGAAAGCTTGCGCACCGAGGGCGAGTGAGCGTAGGGAATGACGGAGCGCAGCTCGTCCAGTGCGTCATTCAGATCGTGCATTCGCCGTCGCTCACGAGCGTTGATGTTCAGGCGGACGTGCTGCACTGAGAGGCTTTCATGGGAGCCATTTCCGCCGCCGCCTGCCGAAGATGCTGAAGACTGGTCCAGCTGGTGAGCAGCAGCAGCAGCCGCTAAGGCGCTGCGCTGGGAGCTACGTACGCCCATCGAGCCTTTGTTACCGAGCCGACCACCACCACCCCCTTTTCGACTGACTATTTGCTGGTTGTGCTGGTGGTGGTGAGCCTCGTGATGACCACCACTACTTCCCGCATTGACGACGCCCATCGAATGGGTCTGCGTCATGTGAAGATGTTGCTGGTGGTGGTGATGGGAGCTCTCGTGGATGCCCTTCATAGAGTGCTGCTGCTGCTGTTTCATGCTATTGCCCGAGATGTTCTCAATTTGCTCCAAGTTGGCGCCTGTGAAGTGGTTTGCGCGAAAGTGGTGGTGGTGATTTTCTGAAGACTTTCCCAGCAACTCCACAGACTGATGGTGGTGTTGCTTGAAAGAGAGAAAATACCGAGAGGAAAGCGCTTTATCCTTTTCAGTGTTCTTGCCACTTTCTAGTTCAGAATCGCCTAGAGGTAGTGGCGGAGGTGGTGGTGGTGGTGGTAAGTTGGCAGTACTTTTGTGCTCAAAAAGCGGTTGGCTCTGAAACGGGTGATCAGGTGAAACGGAAAACGGACGGAAAATGAGACTTTAATTGCGGTTACTTTTTCCCGTTAACTAACGGGACAACTTTGACGACGGACAATTGACAAAAATGAATAACAGCAACACTTAGCACTAGCACTTACCGAGGACGACAGTTGCTGCTGTTGTTGCTGTTGCAGCAGTTGTGTGGAGTTGTTGGCCGCAGCGACGGCGGCCACGGCAGAAGTTGTGCCCGAGGAGAGAGCCGGGTACAGCGTGGACAGCGGACAGGAGTCGAATGGCAGTGCTGCCTTCGGTCCGATGAGACCCGATGAGGATGGCGATGGCGATGAGGACGTGTGTTCCGCCAGCTTGGGAAAGCTGATCGCGAAATCAGAGCTGCACGCTGCACGTGCTGAGTTTAAATAATAGCCCGCCGAGTGCGACAAGGCCGCTGCGGCTGCCGCTGCTGCAGCCACGGTCGCTGATGCCGTTTGCTGTTGCTGCGACTCGGGCCCTGTGAGGCTGTGAGGCAGGAGCTCTTCTGAGGCCGGGCCACTACTGCCACTACTGCTACTACCAGTGGCAAATAAAGTCAAGCACGACATCGAGGGCTGTGACATGACTCGGCAGCGGTCTGGCGGACAGAGACAGGACAGATTCTCAATGGTCGACAGATGGGCTGCTGCCTCAACGAGTTGTTAGACTGCAAGGGACAGAAGTGCTCAGAGTGTTCTGAAAGTCATTCAGCTGTTGGTTGGTTGGCTGGTTGCGGTGTGCTCGTTTGTGGTCGTCGACGAAAAGAGAACCCCGTTGATGGTGTTCATCTTTTCTAATTACCGATGAGTTAAGTTGTCACAGGCAATTTGTCGTCACGGATTTGACTACCGCAGATGCTGCCAATGCTCTAGGACCGCTGGAGCAGTGAGGACAGAGAAGTTTGTGGAGTCTGACAGAGGAGCACTTCTTTGTCTTCCCTGGCTGACTGCTCACGCCTTCAAGCAGCGAAGGAAGGCGTTCAAAGTTGCCGTCGAGCCAATCAGAGCCCCTCGGTCGGTCTATATAGCAAGAAACAGGAAAGAGGCCAAGCTGGGCACAATTGGCGCTGACTGAAAGACTGACTGACTGACTGACTGACTGCAGCAAAAGTAGTCAAACTTGGGTGGCCCAAGATCAACTGCAAACATCGTCCGCGACCAACCAGAGTGAGATCAAGTTGTGATGCGGCAGTTGCAGGGCGGCACACACAGAGCCAGAATGAATGCATCACTGAAAGAATGGCAAACAAGCCAGCTGAGAAGAATGAGAAAAAGAATTTTCTCAGTTACATTCTTAAATCGTCCCATTCAGTAGCAGCAGCAGCAGTGGACGCGTGCACCATCGTCGATATCGTCACATGCGAATTAGCAAAGTAATTGATTCTCTCCGTGCTCACACACTTCCACAGTCACCAGTAGTTGTTGGTAGACACGCGTCTTAATTCTCTCTGACAGGCGTCCTCAATCCATTAGGGTCGAGACCGTGGTGATGCGGCTGAATAGCACTAGCACAATTTTGCTGGCCAATACTGACAGCAAAGTTGGAGAAAAGACACACACACTGGTCTGCGTCTCTGCTCTGATCCCGTAGTCATCAATGTTAAACTCTAACTTCACACTGATAGCCACATTTTACAGCTCCATTACACTCTTTTATCTGTTCAGCGGTACAGCTTTCCATTCATCTCCACACTTTTTTAGGACTGTAATGAGAAATCGATACTTGCCGCCACCAGTATGCAATTAGCGACGACACCGCAGAGGCGTCAGTTGCTACATCAGCTGCCGTCGCTGCTGGTTGTGGTGCTTCTCAAAAACCGTTTTCGCAGTGTTTCATTGCCTCCGATTAACATCGAGGGAGGACAATCGTTGCAGTCAGTCAGCCAGTTAGCCAGTCCCGGGCACTGTCATTCGAAACACTACAAAACTAGGCAGACAGAGACACAGACAAAGGGGCAGCACGAAACCAATTGAAAAGACAGCGGCGGCAATTGTGGTCGAGAGGAGAGAAGGAGAAAAGGGAAAGCTTGTAAGCGGCGGCGGTGACATTGCAGATGAAGAGGAGAACAAGCAGTCAGGCAAACAGTTCCAAGTGTCGATCCGACTGTGTGGGTTTCCACCACCATTACTGTTACACTAGGCACTACCAACAACTAATTCCCGACAAAGCATTTGATCAGAGAAGCGTACAGATCCGATTACTGATGAGGAGGACCGCAGGCGAGCCAGCCATTCAGCCACCTGACTGACTGGCGTCAGCAATCTCAGCAATTGCAACTATCTATTCGGGAACGGCTCAGTGGCAACTGTTCAAATGAGGAAGATGACAGATGCGGAATGAGTCACGGGACGGAGCTCAGCTCAGCTCCAAGTGTCCGTGCTCAGCGAGTAACAGTGCCACCAAAGCGAAGTGCACTTCATCATCACTGCCAAGTGTGCAAACTGAGGGAAAGGGAGAGAGAGAGAGAGAGTGCGTGCCGACTCAATTCGATTAAGTTATTTACTGTGACAGAAGTGAACATGTGCGACGGCGGCGGCGGCAAACTATGGACAAATGTCAGTGCCGCCGCTAAGCTTTATTTACCCCCAGCACTCACACACACTTACTGGAGGATGAGATGCACACCCGGCTCTAATCAGACAAATGTTGCCGACTGGATGAAAAAGAGGAGAAGAGAAGACGGACGGACGGTTATCTCTGCCCTGGTCAGTTCTGCCTACTGCTGGTGCCTCTGAGAGGCATGCTGCCGCCGATGTCGCAGAATGTCAATCGAAGTGAAGGAGGCAAACTCGCGATCGCATTCTGGACAGTGGTACAGATCTTTCGACCTATCCGCCGACGACGATTTGCTCGTCGATGCTGCCAGCAGTAACTTCTCCTCGTGCTGCTGCGCCTTCTTCGCGCAGATCTCCTGGTGCCGGGCCCACTCGATGACGCTGAGGTGCATCTCCGCCTTGCAAATGGTGCACTCATAAGCCTTCCGCGATGCTCGCACCATTTCATCGGTCTGATTGACTTTTAAGCTGCAAAGAGAAGTAACAAAACAACTTTGTGTTAAGCAAAACGCTACCTTGTCACCAAGTCCCAAAATTCAACAGTACCAGTTAAAGTTGAGTTGCTTTCCAATGCGAATGCCGCCCTTGGTGCTGTTCGGCTTGATGCTCACCGATTCACCTCGAAGCCACTTCAGCGGACGGTAGTGCTCAAAGGGCGCCAGTCCTTTCTCCTCCATCGGCTGTCCACTGTGCAGGTGCTTCAGATCAGCGGGCAAAAGTCGCCTCATGGCGTACTTTGGCTGCACATCCAGGTATTGACTCATTTGCTGCTTCAGCGCATTGGCCTCCTCTTCGCAGTTTATAGCCTTTTCTTTCTTTTTTGCCTCCTCCTCCTCCGATGATGATGGTAATGATTCTTGTTCATTCAATTCATCAGAAGCGTTGGCATTCTCGCCTAGATCTACAAAAAAACATAATTACAACCTACAAACCCTTAAAAAAGAAAACATACCACTGAACAAGCTCTCCAGCAGTCGAGACCACGCGTGGCGCAGCTGAAGCGCCTTCAAGAGCACCTCCTGACTCTCCTCCCAGCTGGCGCAATGCAGTTCGATCCAGTTGTCGCAGACGATTCTGAATGAATTGAATGCATGTGTGTTAGCACCTCCAAAATACAGCAATAAAAACAACAACACCTACCTGCTCATATCCTCATTGGTGTCAATGTCATGTGCACAGAGCAGCAGTGCGTGAATGGCCGAAATGGGGTAGCAGTTGCAGATGTACGTCTTGCTCGTCTCAATGAAGGAGATGTAGCCGACCAGCGTGTGCCGAGTGGAAAGTGCCCCCAGGGGCGAGTACTCCACCTCCGATCCACTGGCGGGCCGAAGCAGCTCGGGCTGGCCGGCGTACACACTGGAGGGGTGCAGCACCACAAAGGGCCGGTCCTTCGTGTGGAACATCTGATCGCCGTCCGGTCGGTAGGAGTTGTCCGCGTCGGCGATGGCCAGCTGCGGGTAGAAGCTGAGGGCGACGATCAGCTTGGCCACCTGCAGCTCGCGGTAGCTCAGCCGGTGGCTCTGCTCAATCTCCGCCAGCTGGGCGCCGTCAAAGATCAGCTTGAACTCGACGTCCTTCATCGTCGTCTCCGCGTCACCTCCTCCTCCTGGTCGTTTCTCCTGCTGACCATCGTCGTCTTCATTCTGCTTCTCATTAACATTGAGCACCTTCCGCCGTTTGTGCTTGTGCTGTTCGTAGTCTCGCTTCAGCTGCGCGTACAGCTTCCGCTCGCCGTGCTTGAGAATGCGCTCACTCCTGCTTAGCTTCTGCTCGGAATTTGCGCCGCCGCTGTTTTTGGCCATCAGCCCACTGTCGGTGACAATCTCCCGGAACTGGTTGCGCAGCTTCGTCACCTCGTAGAAGCGCTGCTCCTCCAGGCCCAGCCGCCGACACCAGGAGCGGGTGTTCTGCGCCTGCGAGCGCAGCATCAGCCAGCGACTGTAGAAGTTGAGGGCGGAGAAGAGGTCGCCCTCGGTGGAGCTAATCCGCCGGCGCTCCTCCACCGCCTCCAGGTCGTTCAGCGAGCGAATGGAGAAGAGGTTCTGCACGCTGAGGCAGGCGGCGGCAGAGAGGAAAAACTGCACCAGCTGGTGGCCGATGGCAATGATGAGCATCTTGCCGATGGCGATGTCCACCGGCAGCCGGGAGAGTATGCGGCCGAGCAGGGTGATCTGCTCGCTGCCCTCCTCCAGCGTCTCGTAGTCGATCAGCGTGCGCACTGTGCTCTCGATGCTCGCCGCCTCGGGCGGCTCCAGAAAGGGAAACGTCCGCACGTCCTTCAGGCCCATGGAGACCATGTTCAGGAGGAGCGACTCGAGGGAGACGCGCCGAATTTCCGGCATCGAGTAGTCGGCCATCGCCTCGTAGTCCTTGGGCGAGTAGAGGCGGTAGCAGACGCCAGGGCCGGTGCGGCCGGCTCGGCCCTTGCGCTGCTCCGCCGAGGCTTTGCTCACCCAGATCTCCTGCAGCTTTTGCATGCGAATCTTCGAGTCGTAGTAGAGCTCCTTTACCTTGCCCGAGTCGAGCACGAAGCGAATGCCGTCAATGGTGAGCGAGGTTTCGGCGATGTTGGTGGAGAGAATGCACTTCCGGACGCCGGGTGGCGCAATGTCGAAGACCTGAACAAAGGGGCAAATTAGAATTACACAGATGTTTTTGTCAAATCAAATAAAACTAATCTTTTCACGTACCTTGTCCTGCTCTGAAACTGACAGTCTGCTGTGCAAGTACAGTATAATCCACTTTCCAGTTTGCTCAGCGTAGCTTTTCAACGTCTCGCCGACGTTTTCAATTTCCTGAAAGCCGCTGAGAAAAATCAAAACGTCGCCCCGTTCCGATTCAGGACAGCCGGTGTCGATGTGCTTCAGCAACTTCAGGTACGGCTCTGGGCTTATCTTTGAGGTGGTCTTCAGCAGGGCGAACTTCTCCACCGGAAAGTACTCCACTTTAATTGGAAACAGCCGTCCGGGCACCTTTACCACGGGACAGTTTCCAAAGTAGCTCGAGAACAAATCACAGTTTACTGTGGCGGACATGAGGATGACCTTCAGGTTGTCCCTTCTTCGGTTGAGGAGACACTTGATGGCGCCGAGGAGAAAGTCACAGGAGAGGTGTCGCTCGTGAATCTCATCGAGGACGATCACATTGTAGCTGCCCAGCAGCGGGTCTTCGATCATCTGTCGCAGGAGGAGGCCTTCAGTGAGGAAAAGCATTTTTGTGTGCTTCGTTTTGTGCTTTTCAAAGCGAATCTGGTAGCCGATTTCGGCGCCATATTCGTCGACGGTTTCAAATGAAAGTCGATTCCGCAGTGCTATACAAGCAAGCCGCCGAGGCTGGGTACAACAGATATTTTCGTAATTTGCTTTTAGTAAGTATTGAGGAACTTGAGTAGACTTGCCGCAACCTAAAAAGGCAAAACGATTAGTTTCAAATGAATAGCTACAAGCAACAAATCAAAATTTACCTGTGTCACCGGCAATTAAAATGACTGAGTATGACTGAATCGCCTCCAGGATTTGATCTCTGTGCTGGTATATGGGCAAGTTCTCCTGAAATGACTTGAGTTTTTCACTTTTCTTCAGCTTTCGACCTTGATTGAAATCGACAAACATCAGCAGAATGTCTCGGAACTCGCGAATCGCTGACGAGTCAATAAAGTGTTGGCTGTTTAGCTCTTTTACCTTGCTCTTCAGCGTGTCAATGTCTGACCATTCATCCGGCAGACTAGTGGAATACTTTTTCAGCAGTTTTTCCCCAAGGTGTTTCCGCCTTTCATAGGTATCCGCAGATTTGTTCTGCGAATTGGAGGAATACTTTTGCATAAACAACCAAAACTGATCCACCTCAGCTCGCGGCCATTTGAATTTCTCATATGTGTTGGAGAAGAAAACTCTATTCCAGATGTTCTTATTCTCCATAAAAATGTTTCCTTTTCTTCGGTTTGAGGAGGAAGACATGGTGATGAATACTGTTGTTAAAAACAAGTTTAAAATGATGCAAAAATGACTTGTGTCATTTTTTGGTTTGTTTGTATCCAAAGTGCACCTCATCTGTGAATCAGAGCTGAGAAACCCACGTGAGAGATTTTGTTTTTGTCAAATCTTGAAGCAGCATTTTTGTCACCAATCAATTTTTACCTGTAACTTGAACGTGAAAATCGGCTCAATTATGGGTAAACTAAACAAGNATCAGAGCTGAGAATCCCACGTGAGAGATTTTGTTTTTGTCAAATCTTGAAGCAGAATTTTTGTCACCAATCAATTTTTACCTGTAACTTGAACGTGAAAATCGGCTCAATTATGGGTAAACTAAACAAAAAAATTACCCGAACGCTATCGAGCAGGTTTACCGTCAACAAATTCAAATGTGTACCCATTGAGAAGGAGGAAATTACCACCGTCAATAAACTAGTACCAAAAGTCACCGACACAAAAGTTGCCAGCATTGCAGAAAATCCACCAGTGATTAACAGCAAACCAGAAAATGGCGAAAATAAACTGCATCAAGCGAAGAAAGACAAATCTAAGAAGCCCAAAAAGAAAGGCCAAAACAGCAAGTTTTATATGAAATGCGCCAAAGCACGGGAGGAGAAGGGAATGATCATTCTGCCGGCAAAGATTGAAACAAAAATTTACAAACTGAAGAAGGCACTTCAAAAGAAGGGGCTTCCAGGTGAGGAGATCAAAGACATCATTCGGAAGAAACGCCGTGAAGAGGAGCTGAAAATGCGGAAAGACTTAAAGCACCTTTGCTTCAAGTGTCGCCAGCCAGGCCATGAACTGGCAAACTGTCCTCAGGCTGGAAGCGAGGATGCCGCAGACATTTGCTACTTCTGCGGATCCTCTGAACATCGTCTTCACGAGTGCGTCAAGTACAAGTCCGCCGGCAAAAAGGACACAAATCTACCCTATGCCAAGTGTTTTATTTGCAAGAAGAAGGGACATCTGACAAAGTCATGCTCTCAGAATGAAAATGGCGTCTTTCCCAAGGGTGGAAAGTGTATTTTGTGTGGTGCAGTGGATCATATGGTCAAGGACTGTAGTCAGAATGAGAATAAGGAAAAGCCCGAAGAAGAGATTATTTTGAAGACATATGGCGATGTTACTCAAAGCATTGATGCGGATGATTTCACGTTTACCTTGCCAGAAAAGGCCAAGAGTACTAATAAGAACTTGAAGACCGTCAAATTCTAACTAAAATCTTCCTCAATTGTATCGTAATTGATGCCACCGCGTTGCAGGTGTTCCATGGTTTCATCATCACAGTAAAAGAACTTCACTATTGGTATCACGTTGATATGAAACATGTGTCCGCTGTTCTTCATCGTATTTAAAATAAATTTTAGCACCTCGCAAATTTCAGGATTCATTCTTTCAGGCTCTTCGGCCATGTACACGCAAAGAATCCGAATAGCTGCATAGAGGAGGTTCTGGAAATTTTCAGGCAATGGGTCGGTTTTAAGTGAGATCGCTTTTATGAATGCCACCACCTCAATCATTGTACTTCGTACTTCCTCAATAGTGCGAATGATCTGAGCAGCGTTAATTTTCAGAAGATCTTGGGTTTTTAAGGCTATCTCGTCATCGTTGTTGACATTGTTTATGAAAGCTAGGAGAAGTTTCTCCATTAAGATGAACGTTGAGCCAAACTCTGGGTTGACCCAATGAGGCGGCTTCTCTTCAAGCAGTCGAGGAAGAACTACTCGAACTTCAATGCTCACCAGTTGCAACAGCAGAATCAAGAACTCTGAGTTATTCTGGTTCCAGGTGGCTTCGCATTTGATCCAGTCCACGTTGCCAAATGTCAGTGTCATCTGACCGGCCAGATTAAAGGCTTCATCCCGAAATTCGCCAAATAGGCGGCTACAGAACATTTCATTCACTGCATCGCGAAGCAGCTTTGCCCAAGCGTCATTCTTGATGGCGTCAATGTTCTTATGGCCAGACAGACAGAGACGAATGAGCTTGCAAAATCTGAAGCGTTCCCACGTTTTGTCATCGTACAGCTGCTGGCATAGCTGATTGAGAAACTCCACATCATTTGAAGGCATCGTTCCGGTTGTTGGGGTGGATGCAAGTGAGACACAAAGACGCTGCTCGGTCTTTTGCAGTCTCCAAACATGTGCGACTCTGAGTCGACAAAATATTGACAAAGAACCGTCATCTATGACGGGCGCTAGCGATGCCCACAAAAAATGCGGCAAATATTTTAAAAATGAAATCTCATTTAGTGCATCAATCAGGAAACGAGTAATTTTATTCCGATTAAACGGAACATGAATCACAGGTAGCCTTTTGACTTTTGCTCGTGGCTATGTTTCTGAAACCTTGCACTGACTACACTGGTCGACAAACCAGAGCAATATTTAATGTTCCTAAGATATTTAAATTGACCTTTATTAATTCGAGTACGCTGAATCCAATGGCGTCAACCATTTTTTAATCTGGTCGTCAAAATTTTGAGATAATCGATCTTGAAAGTTCCAAAATTGACGTTTTGAGCACTTTTCACCGCCTTTTTAAAAATAGTTACAGTGGTTGTCTGTTATTGAATGGAGATTTTTCTGAACGCATTTAACCTCATCTTTTCATATCCGAAAAGAGAATTCAGAAACAATACTTAAATTTTTATACACAAGTTAAAACAAAATGGCTGATTTTCAATATTTTGACTGAGCCCTATGTGTGTAAATAGCCAAACAAGATTCTTTTTTTCTAAAATGAAAAAGTAATTTACTTTACCGTTTTTCAAAACGGAACATACTTAATAAATTTTATTCTTAATTTAGAAAGTAGTATTGAGCAAAAAGTAACTTTAAAACATTTACTATTAAAATTAAAACGAATTTTAAATTGAAAATTGATTTGAGTCTAAATGCACCTAAGTGGCTCAAGGCAAAGCCAACATTCAGTGAATTTTTCAAACAAGATTTTAGATCAGATAAAAAATGTTTTTATGTTGTTATCTTAAATTCTCTCTTCGGATATAAAAAGATGNTTCAAACAAGATTTTAGATCAGATAAAAAATGTTTTTATGTTGTTATCTTAAATTCTCTCTTCGGATATAAAAAGATGAGGTTAAAAACGTTTGGAAAAATCTTAGTTCAATAACAAAAAACCACTGTAACTATTTTTAAAAAAGTGGTGAAAAGTGCTCAAAACAGCCATTTTGGAGCTTTCAAGATCGATTATCTCAAAATTTTGACGATCAGATTAAAAAATGGTTGACGCCATTAGATTCAGCATACTCGAATTAATAAAGGTCAATTTAAATATCTTAGGAACATTTGGCTTGTCGACCAGTGAGCTAATGATATCGAGGCTGGTTGCTTGTTAGTTTATTAAAATGTCGGGGCTGATGAACGAGTGTTACAGCCGACTATTTTGACAGCGTTTGGCAGAGAAGTCGCATTGCGTAATCGCGTTTAAGATTTGCAAATTGCAATGTTTAGGTTTAGGTTTAGAGTAGGGCGGGCGGGCCTTTCAGAGTACTTCCGGCCGGCTGTTCACGGTCCGGCTATCCAAGTGGATTTTTTTAAGATAAGCCGGCGCGGTCTTAGGGCGGCGGGCAAGGGTCAGGTGAAACTCCGACGGCCACTGCCTTCAATACTTCAATCATCGTGTTGACCTTTCGGTTCGGAACCTCCAAAGAGGCGGGTTTCCTTTGCCCTGTACATTCTACTACCCAAATTGCCACAGGGTGCTAGTTTGTTTTGATGCGCTCTTATATGTGCGTTGATGACACGCGCTAGAAAACACTTGCAGACTGCCGCCGCTTACTGTTTAGCGTTGCCTATTTTAACCGGTGTAACACTCGTTCATCAGTCCCAAAATGTCCACCAAGTGGCACACTACTCTGCATTTCAACCGCCAAAAAAATTTGTCTTGCTGTTGTGAGCCACCTATTCATAGAATAGGGCCTCAGCAGGGATCATACTAACAAAGCCCAGTTTGCTGCAGCAAAAATAAGATTGATAAATACTTTTTCCTTGTCTACTTCAAAGCTGGTTTCTGCAATGAATTGGCAACAGAAATTGCCGTTTCTTTTGCTTTATTCGACTGCTTTTATCATTGCATTATCTGTTGCAACTGGTAAGCTGAATTAACTTTTCGAATTTTTTTTTCAATTTTTATTTTTATTTTTAGATTTTTCGGAAAGTGTTTGCAATTACCTTGAACCCCCTGAGGAGTCGACTATTAATGTTTCTGATCGCAACATTGTTTTAAAAGTCACCAACTTAAACAATCGAACCGTCAAAAAATTTCCACGAAAGAAATGCACGTGGATAATTGAACGACCGAATTC